GACGGTTCCCGGCCTGCGCAGACGCCCTCAACATATGGGACTGGCGGTAGTGGCTCCAAACGGCCAGAACCTGCTTGGTGCTCCAGAGTGCTTCAAATTCAGAGCCACGATTACTGTAGACAAGGGCAGTCGGAACTGATACAGCCGTCCGACTGGCTGCTGACTTCCGGCCTTGCTGAAAGCACGCACCCGATCCTGCAAAGAAAACAACGCAGGCAAAATAAAACCATGCCTCCAGCACTCAAATGCATAACAAGACGCAAACGTTGCATCAGGGACAGAAGACGCGTACGCATGCATGCATGATGTAAACAGTCCTTCACAGACAGACATAAAGACAAGCCAGCAGACCAGGCAGCCACGCAGCCACGCAGCCAGGCAGACAGACGTGTGCACCGACACCCAGTGCAGGCATTACTTTCTCCAGATGAATTCTCGTGCAAAACGGAGGAATGCAAGCACGAAGCCACCCGTCCTGTGGTGAGAACTGTGCCGAAGAGTCTGCCTGGCTGCGCATCTCAGAGCTAACTTCGCTTGAAACTGGTGGAAGCTTTTCTTATCTTATAGCTTCGCTCTACCTACACGTTTCAGATGAATGCACACAGATGAAAATATGCCTGCCTCTGCAACAGCTGCACAGCTGTCAGTCCTCTGCCAGCAGACGTGAGCTCTGCACCCTGCTACACTGCTACACACTGCAAAGAGCGCAGATGCTTACAGCTTGAAGTGCATGGCAGCAGGCGCACTCGCCAGATTCCAAGCCCGCGGCGGAAGCGGTGCCGAGCAGCAAAGACCTGAAGGGCAGCTCTCATGCAAGAGATGAGTTGTAACATGGAAAGTTTAAAGAATCCAGCCCCTGAGGCCCGCAACCCAGCAGGGCGACCATTTGTGCGGCAGTGGCCTTCACGGATTGTGATTCAGGGCAAATGGGTCTCTTGCGAAGAACCCAACTCGGGCCTCATCCGTCTGGGCATTTGTCTCCTGCCACGGACTCGTCGAGACCCAGGCTTGAAAGTGTGACTGCGGGGTTGCTCAAGCCCGTCCTCAAAGACGCACTCACAGGCGGCTCTGGCCACGTCACAAAGTGTGCCTGCTAAAGGCCTGCCAGGATCGAAGGAACACAGTTGCATCGCTCTCACGCTGTCTCTGCAGAATGCAACATGCAGCTTACCTCACATTAGATGTTTGTCTGCCTATCTCAAAATAAGTGGCGAGCACCGGCTCAAAGAGTGCACCTCTGCAGCTCCCCTGTTCCGCTCCTCTGGAACACATGAGTCAGGCATGCACCAGGGGAAAAACCCTCGAGAACTTCAGTCCTGTGCTCTTCACAGACGGCCACAACGACGTTGTGGGCAGCCTCTCAGCTCATGCACGAGAAAGCAGGTCCCGAAGCCCCAAAGCATCGCCACGAACATTCCACCCCCAAAAGCAGCAACAGACCCAGCCGGAAGCAGGCTCCTCCCCACCTCCAGGGCAACGAAGGTGGCAGGGCCACCGAACTCAGCACTTCGCAGTATGCGCAGCAGAGGCTCCTGGACCACTTACAGACTACCGCTTTGGGAGCATTTCGAGCTAGGCCCGATGTCCAAGATCTTCACAGACAAATCGGGCGAATTTCTCAGGCACGAATGAGTCTTTGAATTGAAGAGAGCAACTATTCACATGATGATGTCGCTGGCCGTCGCTTTGCACATGTCGGTAACACCTGAGGTATGAAAGCAGTTCTCGCATCGCCTATACTAATACCCCCGGCTGCTCTTCATATTTCAATCGGGCTCACAGTGTGCTGACATCTCTTGTAGATCGAAGTGCGCACCTTAAATCGGCCGACGTTGTGAGCGAATTGAGTGATCCGCTTTGATGTTCAGTTTGCCTTCTCCGGTTCTTAATGGCAAGCATCCCGAAGTTTGGACTCGAAGGTGTCGGGGGTACTTTGACAACAGTGTCACTGCAGAGACTGCGGGACGGTACCAAAGAGAAGGACAAGTCGATTTCGGACTTGCCTCGGCAAAATGATGTGGAGCCTATGCCATTTTTCAACAAAACCCTTCAAGCCTCGATAAACACTGGAATGCAATGGTAAGCCTTCCTGACATGCTCTCCCCGCTCTCCCAAAAACAAAACCCTGGTTACTGGGGCTCCAGAAGCTCAGTCGCACCGCCGGAACCCAGGCGCCAGGTGCAAAGCTGCCGCAGAGGGGAGGCCTCCTATGACAGAGAAGCACACTCATCGGCTCTTCGTATGTATCTTGTCGTGAGTTTGCGCACTCCACAACAACGAAGCACCTGAAAAGAGTGCACAAACTGATAGGTCGGACTGCTCACGCCGCACGGGGGGCTTGATGCTTGCTCCCGTTGAAGAGGGAGATAACCCTCAAGTAGCTATGTCTGCTTTATGCTGACCAGTTCCAAACGGATACACAATCCTCCTGACTGGAGTAAGATTCTAAGGTACTTCGGGGGCACAAAAGTTGCCACCGCTCTGAGCCTCACGTCAAGCTAGATTTTGGAAAAAGGGAAGACTCTTCGTCCTGCTTTGACACTCAGGATCGCAACGGGAAAACAAAACACGTTCGATTAACTGAACTGTTTGTCAGCCTCTTCAACATGAAACTCGAGATTGAGGGACTGTGAACTCTGATACAGAGGTCACTGGCAGCAAAGAAAGCAGGTGGCAGGGAGGAATGCCAAAAAACTCTGACCTCGTGTCGCCAGGAGCGATTCTGGCTCCAGTGTCGGTTGGCCCGCAGGGCCGTGGTGACTCGCTGCGCCTGAAGTTGAGGTATGTTGAGGTTTCGCGGCCGGGAGCCGCTTACAAAGCTTCTGGTTGTCAGTTGCCACTGCTGTTGTCACATCTGCAGGCTTCGAGCATCATAAATACAGAATCATTCGTTGCGGATTCCGGCTGCAAGCCTTCATGTCGCGGCTTGAACCTCATCTGTGGACCTGCCTCACTGCGGCAGACGGCATCCAAATCAGAAGCCATGGCACGAGAAGGGCGGCTTGAACAAGGACTTACAGCACCGACTTGAACATTTATGCTCGTGACCCAGCACTGTTGCACCCTTTCATAAGGGGCCCAGCCACTGCGTTGCTTGCGCAAGAAAAACTAAGAGACAGCCCAACGACTGGTCATACGCAAAGACATTGCAGGAGTGGGGCTTGGGGGCTGAATGCACGAGCCGTGTCTA